AAATTTGCTTATCTTGCTCACATTCCTATAGTTCAAAGGGCAGTGGAAAATTTCAGTACATGGCAATTACCATTCAATATTAATAGAAGGTGTTGAACTAAAGTCCTAAGCAATGAATCCAGAGGGAATACAAATTCTTTCCTAAAAAAACTACTCGGGATTCTTCCACTATGCATTGGTGCATTTATACTTGTGCAATCTAACATTTGCTTTTAACAAAATTAAAGCTGGCATTTGACTGCACAGGGAATTGTAACTGGAAACCTAGCTAAATTATTATAACACTTGCCTAAACAGGTGGGTAATATTAAAGTCTGAAGTGTTACTGCTTTCAGAGACACAACTTTTGGGAAAAGCCCTTTACACATGTCAGACCAGCTTCTATATGCTCTTGTGCTTTATTTTTAGAGTAGCATTTGTTGTTGCATATTTTCTCACAGGCAGATATTTTCAGATATTTTTGTGTGTGTGTTGTGCCCAGCAAGACATTCTGCCCCTTACTTCCATCCAGCCACGAAGGTCACTGGGCCATCCAACACTCACAGGGACAGAACTCATTAGAGGGCTGGTTTGGGTCTCCTGGGATGTGAAATGGCACTTTCATACCCACCAGCCTGCACCTGGTCTCTCACTGCATCACTGGGTTCTAGCAGTCCCTTACATTAGGAAAAAAATCTGTCTTGGCCTCCCTCACTGCATTAATTTGAATCCTCAAATTAGGCCAGAGCTTAAAATAATTCAAACTACCTAAGGTTTTCAGCTAAATATTTTAAGTTTCCCAAGTCCATTATTTTATTTACTCTTCAAAAATGTTGGAATCATATTAGGAAAAGATTCATCTGAATGGCAAGCAGAAATAATTACCCAGGCAGGTAAGCCTATAAAGCATTAAAATTTATCTTAATACAAAATAGAGGGTCTGGTTGTGGCAGTCTGCATATTTGTCTAACAGACATGTAACAGAGAAATTGTCCAAATGAGCTTAATAAATCTCTTTCTTATACTCACAAAAGACCACATACTCACTTCCATAATTCTATTAGAGTCTGCTCCTCTGAAGGAGATAAAAGAAGAGATAACCTCTCCATTCAGAATACAAAATAGCAATTGTTCAGCTGATGATTGGAATATTTCCAGTAGAAGAACTTAATTATGGAACAAAATTAGCTCAATCTGACCTTTTTAGAGAATAATGCAAAACTAAGTTTTTTGCAAATGTCTTCCTGGAATAACTGAAATAAGGAATAATTTACTTCCCTCTTTTTACAAGAGCAAAAGGTGGCAGAATATGATAGCAGTGTTCTTGGTGAGATGACAGTCCAAAGATAATAATGAGACAGTATGTGCAGAAAGAGATAATATATTTTAATAGACCAGCTGATAGTCTAAAAACAGAGAAGCTTTCAGACACACAAGACCTTTGCAGCAAGAGCAGGTTTCCCTCAGTGACTCAAAATTGCAAGCTTAATAACTAGATGGTGTAATGGTTGTGTCATAGGACTGCACCAAAATGTATGGCATCTATATCCATTACACACTGAAAGCTCCTCTTGGGATAAAGACAAAACCTATTGTCCCAATCTCTGCTTTATCTCTGTGATAAATAGGAATAAGTACCTGCACCCACAGACCAACAGGCTGGGGATGATGCTGGTGTTAAAGCATTTCCCTCCAGGTCTTTAGTTCCATGCATTTATCTGTATTGAGGCACTCCTCACTAGGAAAAAAAAAAAAAAAAAAAAAACAAAAAAAACCCCCCACAAACTGGAAAGAAAAACCTTATCTGTTTTATCAGTCCCATCTCTGATTTCATGACATTCTGAATGCTCCCAAGCCATGCTGATACCACTGCATACAAGAAAAAAGGCATGAACAGGTGGTGATATTAACAGCCTTCTTATGGTTCTGAAAAATGAGATAGAAATGTTTCATGTCATGAAAGTCAACATCAATCATCATCCATCTTGTGCAGATATGGAAATCAGCCAGTGTGGTTCTTGCTGAGGAGGTGTGAGATATTTCTTTTGCATCAGAGCTGTTGCTCTGGACACAAGTCATAATTTGTTTAATATAGATGAATGAGGAGAATATAACTAACACTGCCTTCTTTCCCTTTTTTTTTTTTTTTTTATTAAACTGAAAGCTCCCCCTCCTGGCACATTCCCTGAACTGAATGCAAGGTTCCTGACACCTACTTTTAGCAGGAGATTCATGAAGATTCTTTAAAAGTAGTATATTTATAGTCTCCCAAGGATTTCCTATTTCCCTGTCCAGCTATGAGACTTGATATAATGTGACACCAGGGGTTTGCCCTAAGGCTTTGTCTGTAATTTTAATCTGTTGCTTTTCCAGGCAAAGACTTATGGTTTCTACTTTGTTGCATATCATACAGAGTAAAGGAAACAACTTTTTCAGAAAGTTTGAGTGTTCACATTTGTGTTCAGAGTGATCAGTGTAGCTCAGCTATAATCACACCATCTAATTTCCTAATAAATGCCTTGGAATAATTCTGAGAAATCTCCTGGATCTCTTGGAAGGAATGCTGCAGCCCTGCTTGAGAGCAGATCCTGACCAGGCTCAGGGCATCTGAAAGGCAGAGAAAACAAAAAGGCAAAGAGGGATGTGTTTATGTCACAGTTTTGGTAACTGCTGTAACTGCTCTCATCTCATTGCTGCCTGTGCTAGGGACTGCCAGTCCCTCTAATCCCCTGAATCAGTGCTGGCACTTCTGTGCTTAATGTGATGAACTGATTTCTCACTGCATTTCCACAGCCATACACTCATGCAAAGAAAGAGGAAGGCTTTCCCAGCGTGTACAGCCACAGGATCCTGTAGTTCCCATAAATTCCTACATTTTAATTTTGTTACAGTCCCTGGTACTATCCCTCAGCTCCAAGCAGGCTGGCAAAGGCAGTGACACTGGTTAGGGAGCTTTCATTAGATTTGCCATCGTATTCAAAGACATCATCTCCCTGTGTCCTTAAAAATTATTTATGGAGGACAGCATTTTACTGGAGCATGAAGCCAAGAAGGAATGTTCCTGTGCAGGCAGGACTGTGCTGGGGCCATGCTTTCACACAGCCATGCTCACCAGCCCCCTGGCCACACAGAGCAAAGTGAAGGAGGGTGAAGCAGAGTAAAATAACATCATCACGATCTCAGCTCAGTGCTGAGCTGTAACAGTAAAGTGAGAATGAATGAATAAATGAATTATAATTATGTCTTCCTTTTCTAGGCTTCTCCTGAATATCAAGGGGTATTTTCTTCTATGGAAGTGGTGTTACTTTGCTTTCTATGCAGTTAGGTAATAAACATGGCAGGTTTCAGTTGAAGAAGAGTGGATGTTTTAAAGTCTAGCATAGAGTAACAATTCACTACAGATACAATGAATGAAGCATGTCTATTAGACTTGGTACATTAGGTCTGGAAGTGGGAGAATTGCTGGCCTGGCACCTTATGCCACTTTCCTCTTCCCTCTCTGTGGTTACAAAAATCAGGATTGACCTACACAAACAAAGCTGCTCGCCCTAAATGGAGCAGAGCTCAGCTGCTGAGGCAGTGAGGCCAACGAGCTTCCAGTGCCATTTACAGCAAAGAAGGGCTGTCAGTTTAAATGTCTCTATGCATAGGGCAGAACACCAAATGCAGGCTTGCCATTTGAAGCCAAATCAGAGTAATAATAAGGTGAAAAATGACACATTCATTATATCCATGAATATAGGTACACACATGCACCTATCTGTATTCTTTTTAAATCCTTGCTATACAGATATATATATACATACATGTGTCTTCTTAGAAATGTCTTAAAAGCTGCTTTTATTGTCATAATGAAAGAGCAGGACTCCTTTGAGAGCCATTTGTCTGCAAAACTACTGTAAACTTCCTTTGAGTAGGCTGTCTGCACTCAAGAGAGTTGAATCAGTAGAACTTTGACGAGACTAGAAGACCCACTGATATCTAATTAATGTGGAAATAATTGTTGTAATCGTTGCATTTCTCTACAAAGCATGTACTGAAAAGCACTTACACGATTTAGTGAGCATCAAATCAGTTTGATATGCAAATGGAGGTATGGACTACTTCATAATGCTGGTGGTATTTAAACATTTGTTTATTAAGCTGAGAAAATTCAAAATGTCAACAAATGGGGTCCAAAAGCGATGTCTTTTATCAACAGAGACTTTCTTCAGAGTTTTTACTGTACATCTTTTAGAGTCAGTAGGCTCTAATGACAAGAGTAACAGCAATGCTAAATGTGAAGTGACTGCTGGGAGTAAAGTGTGGATCAGTTGTTCCAGCACCTGACACATTCCAACAGTTTTCCTCCAGGAATAAAAGGGAGCAGTTGTGGTGCTCTCCAGATTACCCCCAAGCTCCTACCTTTTTGGTTTTAAGGGGTCATGGAAACATTGACTTCATCCACTTCACGTAGATTCAATTAACTCAGGTTAATGGCTATGGGATGGAGCTCAGGGACCTGAGAGCTGCTCCCATTGTTCAGCCTGGCCTGTCCTGTGACATAAGCTGCATTTTTGGGTGGAGAAAAAAGTAAAAGACAATGAGTTGCCAGGGCAGGAGCAAAGAGTCCACAGGGAAGTGGATTCATTGCATCTCAAGCACATGCAAAGCTGCATCCAAGTACAGAAAAGCAACACAGACTTGATCAAATTATGTACGGATTATCTGTTTCCTAAACTTCTAGTCTTAAAATCAGTACAATCCACAAAAAGTCCTTGGGAGTAATAAGCTGTGACCTGTTCAGATTTAGATGAGTGTTTTACCTGGGATGTGTCTTTGCTACATATATTTATCACGGCCAAAAGAGTGGATATCAAATATATTTTATTTCAGGAGAAGTGTAAAATTACAAATTGTTCCCAGGGACTATGGAAAAGTATGTAGTTGCATGATATTTAATAGCATATACTTCTTAAATCTTGGCAGGATCACTCAGAAGAACCCTTGCTAACCCCTTCTCTTTTTATTTACTTTGACAGGATTTCTGAGCACTGGGGACCAAGCAGCAAAAGGAAACTATGGCCTCCTTGATCTAATTCAAGCTTTGCGATGGACTAGTGAAAATATTGGGTTCTTTGGTGGTGACCCATTAAGAATAACTGTTTTTGGATCTGGGGCAGGCGGTTCATGCGTCAATCTCTTGACTTTATCCCATTATTCTGAAGGTAACCGTTGGAGCAATTCAACCAAAGGTATTATACAGGTTGCAAATTTTGACAATTTTGGTGTCTGCATGCCACCACCATTAGTACTATGTGATGTTCTGTATATTCTCTTTGTTTCTATGAACTGTTGAGTTCAGCTCAGTATTAAGAAACTTTTTAAAGGCTGTACAAGCCTCCTTCTCCCTCAGCTCTTCTGTGCATGTTTAAATTTTGGGTCACTTTCTTCTTTTTCCTAGGGAGCTTTGTAGAAACACTTTATAGCAGACTTCTGAACGGCATTTTCTTGGTGCATCATTTTTGTCTCTTTTCTTTCCTACCTAAGGGTGTCTTTTTTGGAAAATCAGTCAGTCATGCTCAGAGTAGATGAGGTCATCTATATTCAGACAGTTGTGAAAGGCGTGTTTAGTTTCTCCTGAGGAGCAGAATTTAAAGAAAACTAAAATGACAGAGTTTCTCTTTTCAGGCTAACAGCTGAATTGCTTAAAACTATTATTTTGTGTGAAGGAAACAAGTATCTAGTTCAGAAATCTTTTGTCTGAAACTGCATGGACTTCACTTGCTGTCATCTAATAAAAGAATGGTTGAACGTTTTGCATGCATGATCCAAAATTGTCAAAGCATCCAAGTTGCAAATGGACTTCCTTCTATATGTTTTTTTCCTATTCCATAACTAACACCTTTTCTCTCTAGTTGAGGCAGGTGGCAGGGAATTAAAATCATGCTGTTTGAGGCACCTAACTTATTCTTTCTATGATTTTTGCACCACAGTTTCACACAGTGTCTCTCATTTGCATGGCTCTTGCTTATTGATCATGTTACTTTTGTCTAACTCTTTTCACATATTTTTATCTGTATTAGTTTTATTGGGGACACCACACTGTGCCCTATGCATATAATCCTCCACTAATTTATATTGCTGTATCTCCATGGGGGACTAATAGGCTGGTCATAAAAACATAATTCTGCTGATATTAAAAGAGCTGCATTTCCCCAAAGTCATGTTACAAAGACCACTGAGATCAATAGAAGTGAGATTCCTTAGACCATGCCATTATGCTTTTTTAAATAAGAGAAAAATATAACTTCTACAAGAAGAGTCAAGTGGAAAATAAGACTGTGGTCTAAATTTAAGTCTATTTTCACAATTTGATTTTTAGTGTAATCTTTTTTTCTTCCATAACTACCTGAACTTACATAGGATATATTTAAAAGAAGATGCTTGTAAAATCAAGATGTAAGCATTACCTCACTGCACGGTGACCTGAGGGTGTCAATGCACCATCTTCTTTCATCAGAGCTCTAAAAACCAACTTTCTCATTAAGGATTAACTCCAGGTTGAATGAGGATACCTGGTTTGTCTTCCCCTTGCTCTTTACTTTGTGTTAAAATCAATCTTCTTGGTGTAACATGACATCAATGCAAAATGCTACATTGACAATATTTGGACAGTCATGTGTTGCCTCTTATCAGCAAATAATACCCTGTCATATCCCAACACATGGCCAGAATTCTGCCAGGACCAGACCAGAATTTATTTGGGGAAAACTGAGGCACTTGGATGCCAACACAGCAGATCAGGACATTTTAGAGGGGTCTGAAGAAGATTCAGTAAAAGCAAATTTTTGAGGATTTCTTTTAGAAGCAAACTCATGCTTTGATGAAATTTGGATTAAACAGAACAACTCCCATGTTATGTTTCATTTGGAGGTGGTTAAATCTGCCATAAAAAAAAAAAAAAAAAAAGAAAGAAAAAAGAAAATATAAATTGGTCAGGTTCAAATAAGTAGTTATTTCTTAACATTTCCAAACCCCCTTTTTGTTTCATGTTGTTTCACATTCACATATGAGAGATGGAGAAGGACTTTTAACAAAAGCATGCAGTGATAGGACAAGGAGGGTGGGCTTCAAACTGACAGAGGGCAGGGTTAGATCAGATATTATGAAGAAATTCTTCCATCTGAGGATGGTGAGGCCCTGGCACAGGGTGCCCAGAGAAGCTGAGGCTGCCCCATCCCTGGAAGTGTCCAGGACCAGAGTTTGGACAGGGCTTGGAGCAACCTGGGATAGTGGAAGGTCCCTGCCCATGACAGGGCATGGAACCGGATGAGCTTTATGGTCCCTTCCAACCCAAACCTTTCTGGGATTCTGGGGTTCTATGATTATCAACCAGTCTCTCTCATAAGATGTAAATTCAGAAGCTCTCTTTGCTTCTGTCATCTCCCTCTGAAAGATTCCCTTGGCAGCTGAGAGGAAGAATTCAGCCTATTTCAAGGTGGAGCTGTTCACAGCCTCCCACCTGCAAGTGGGCAGAGTAGCACCCATCTTCACAAAGTGCTCTTAAAATACAGATGAATATATGCAAATTATTATTATTTACTGTGGTGAGACACTGAATAAGGGTCACAAAGCACTGTGGCCCATTGAACATTTAAATCTTCTTTCCATCAGTCTGAAACCCATAATCTTCAGACATAGTAATAAGAATAAGAATAATACACATCATCAGATAAAAATGTAGTTCTCCATCCTGTGAGGTACAAATTTCTGCCACGAATTTTGTGACAGATTGAAAATAATTTTTCATACTGTTCATTTTTCACCAAATGGTTTGAGTGGAGGAATAGCTCTGTCAGCATTCTTCAGCAAGGAGGGAAGTTTGGTTTCATTTCCTCAGATGGTTTTATCACCAAAGGACTTGACCACTTTTACTTAATCCAGCATCTGATGTTTATGTAGCACTTAGTAAGCCACAGTGTTTGTATCAGCATTTTCTTACACATAGCTTACACTTTCTGTCCTTGTTCAGACATGTTTAATAAAGCAATAAAGTTAGATTTACACGGTATGCAAAAACCCACACACATTATGAATTATCATGAACTACATTTTTGTGAAAATTCAGCTTTGTCATTTAGTTACATTTATTACAATGCCTGGATCCTCTGTGGTAATTCTACTGACTTTGAGCTGATTTATACTAGCTCAATATCTGACCTTATAAACATGCAAATATATTTTTAGCTGTTTATACCTCAAGCTCATTCTTATTTTTACTCATATCTTGCAAGAAAATATTATCTTGGATATGACTTCTCATAATTTTAAGAAGGGGCCTGAGTTTACACATTTCATTCTCTATACCTACATAATTTGAAGAATTTTTTTATTGGGACCTAATACAATGATTTACATCATTGAATGATTTAAAAATTCCTGAGGAGCTTGTAAAATGTTTCCTGTCAGCAACAGATTCCAACTTATTTTTGAGTGTACAGGGTGTGGTGCTGCAACAGAAGCTATAAAAGCATTTCTGATTTGATTTAGAGGCTAGGGAGGTTCTTTTTATCAATAGAAATATGTTGCTTATCAACACAAAAGCCATCTTGTGTATAATTGGAATAAATTTCTGCGGTAAGCTGAGAGCCCTGGCTCCAGTTCCTCTGGTGTGAGTATCCAGCTATTCATCAAGCACTGGAGCAAAGATTCCTGGTGGAACTGAGTGAGGCCAGGTGTCACGTTCAGTCCCTAAGTGACTCCACCAGAGATGGTGGAATGACTCCAGGAGTTCATCAGCACAAGTAAAACAAAATTTTGACCCATTTATCTTAAATCAGCATAACTTTTGAACATTACAGACCATTTTGCATTACCCAGAGTGACCTATAGGACGTAGGGTCCAGTATAAAATATTTTCCAGTAGTTTATGCAAACGTTATGATACTGAAATGAACTTCTGTGAAAATGGAAAAAACCCAAACTCCTCACAAAACAGAAAGGCCACCATTACCTAAATATTGTCAAAATACCTGTGAAATACAACCTAAATTACCTAAATATAGTTTCTGAGCAATATTTTACACAAGGTTCAGACTTAAAATCTCTTTCAGAACCCAAGGTACCCTCCTCGAATGGAGTGGAAAAACACAAAGAAGCACAAGAAGTATCAAAGCAAGGATGGAGTTCTGATTACATTAAAGCCAATAGCAAAATAATTGCATTAATTCACTGACTACAAGAGGGTGAGGCTATCATCCAGGACATGTTTTAAAAATCCTTACAGAAGGGAGAGGAAAACATAAATTTTAATGCATTTTGTTATTTCTTTGGGTAGAATTCCTGGTCCAGAGTGATAATTAAATCAGCATAAATTCAAGTTAAATGCACTGAAGACTTAGGGATTTACTGCAGGTTTATATGCAGTGCCAGATCATTCTCTCCCCCTTAACTGAATACCTGAACATATGTTTAAATATCTGAATTACAAAGCTAAACAGTGTAAAATACATCATTTCCCTTTTTATGTAAGTGTGATCAATATAAACCTGCCTTAAAAAAGCTCCTTACAAGAAAAGATTTTGACTTAGACACTTATAAATTTAATAGCTGCCTGGTACCTTCTCATCTATTACTCCAGAATATAAACTTTTGCAGTGATACACAATTTAAAAGCACTGCATCTTTCAAACCAAGTTTAATTCCAAAGAAAACCTTAAAAAGTGTAATAGATTAATTTCACACATAGTTGTATGCATGCATGCTGACCATGGCTGGAACAATACCAAAAACTTCAACCCATTTCAGAGACTTGATGATTTTCACTCCAACCTATACTTAATTTTAAGAATTTATTTAACATGATAGTTTTGTCCTACATAAGGTAATGCCACTCTTTTTTTTTCTGAAAATCTGGACTATATTGAGGGAGAATCATTTGCTTTAGCACATACTGCATTTATTTTTTGCACATTACCTGTAGGTACAACAGCAGTCAGATCTCACCACCCTTATATTTAAGTGCTATTAAGATTCAGGTATCTCTTCTGTTAAAGTTTTCTATTGTTTCAAAGAACTCCTTTGAATCTTTCAAAGTCTGTGGCTGTTTCAAGGTCGCTTCAGTAGTTTTCAAATATTTCTCCCCACAGGACTTTTTCAAAGAGCAATAGCTCAAAGTGGAACGGCTCTCTCCAGCTGGGCAGTTAGCTTTCAGCCTGCAAAATATGCCAGGATGTTGGCTACAAAAGTTGGTTGCAACATGTCAGACACTGTAGAACTGGTGGAATGTCTGCAGAAGAAGCCTTACAGAGAACTTGTCGACCAGGACATCCAACCAGCAAGATACCACATAGCCTTTGGACCAGTAATCGACGGCGACGTGATACCGGACGACCCTCAGATCCTGATGGAGCAGGGAGAGTTCCTCAACTATGACATCATGCTGGGAGTTAACCAGGGGGAAGGGCTGAAGTTTGTTGAAAACATTGTGGATAGTGAAGATGGCATATCAGCCAGCGATTTTGACTTTGCGGTTTCTAATTTCGTCGATAACTTATACGGATACCCCGAAGGCAAAGATATACTGAGGGAAACTATTAAATTTATGTACACAGACTGGGCAGACCGGCACAACCCCGAGACCAGAAGGAAAACGCTGCTGGCTTTGTTCACTGATCACCAGTGGGTTGCACCAGCAGTGGCCACAGCAGATCTTCACTCAAATTTTGGATCGCCTACGTACTTCTATGCCTTCTACCATCATTGCCAGACAGATCAGGTACCTGCATGGGCAGATGCAGCCCATGGAGATGAGGTTCCTTACGTACTAGGAATCCCCATGATTGGTCCTACTGAGCTATTTCCTTGTAATTTCTCCAAAAATGATGTCATGCTAAGTGCAGTGGTGATGACGTACTGGACAAACTTTGCAAAGACTGGGTGAGTACCAGATAATGAATGGTCTTGTAGGCAAACTTTGGATGGAATGGTGCCTTCCATTTGTTATCTCCCTTGGGAATTCCTCTGTACTTGTAGGATGAATAAGAGAATTGAGAATTAAGAATTGAGTTGGATATTTATGTTTACTGTAATGTCCCTTGGCTCACTTACATGTTTTTGGAAAAAGAGGGGAAAAATATCTTTGCAGACTTTCTGCGAGGAAATTTTAAAATATACACAAAACTAACTAAGGAAACTCTGGAAAAGTGTAAAACTAAGCATTTAACATGTGTAGAGATAAAACCAGCTACATTAGTACCTGCCTTTACCCTGCCACTGATACTTTCATTCCATGAGACAGAAAATTACATAAATATTGCTTCAAATATAATACAGCTTATTTTAGTAGCACATTTTGTCTTAAATTCTCACTTCTGACCATAAAATATGTGGCTTTAAACTTGGAAAGTTTTGCCATTTTCATTAGTTCTTTTTTTCCACTGGAGTTCAAAAACCTTTGTTACATTTGACTACTTATTTTTGACTATGTATTGCACTGAGTTGTGCCCTACCATGATCCTTCCCCTCTGGAAGGCCAAAGATGATTCAGAGGAACAGAAATGTAGAGCTGTATGAACTTTATCCTGCTAAAAACAAGAAAAAAAATCTTATGTTGTCTCTGGTGTCTCACAGACATTTGGCCATGTCACCAGACCCCAGGCAATCTTCCCTCAGCAGCAAAAGATTTCACTGTGAGACACCAATATTTTGGAGAACCAGGAAAGTTGCTGAAGTCTGTGTAGAAGAAGGGTTCTTTTGTGTAATGCTGTTTCCAATCAATATTATTAAGGCCTCTAATTTTAGGGAATAGCACTCTGCTCTGTCCAAAGGCAGTCTTAAACGTTTAGTATAAAATCTTAATTATGCTAATTTTATAATTCCATTTGAAATGCTTTGTAACACTGGACATATCTTTTTCTTTCAGTGACCCAAATCAACCAGTGCCGCAAGACACAAAATTCATCCACACAAAACCAAATCGTTTTGAAGAAGTAGCATGGACCAGATATTCTCAGAAAGACCAGCTGTATCTTCACATTGGATTAAAACCACGAGTTAAAGAACACTATAGGGCCAATAAAGTGAACCTTTGGTTGGAACTGGTACCTCATCTGCACAATCTTAACGACATTTCACAGTATACCTCTACCACAACTAAAGTGCCATCGACTGATAATACTTTCAGACCCACAAGGAAAAATTCTGTTTCAGTTACTTCAGCCTTTCCTACAGCCAAACAAGACGATCCCAAACAGCAGCCAAGCCCATTTTCAGTGGATCAAAGGGACTACTCAACAGAGTTGAGCGTTACTATTGCAGTTGGCGCATCTTTGCTGTTCCTGAACATTTTGGCCTTTGCAGCGTTGTACTACAAAAAGGACAAGAGGAGACATGATGTCCACAGGAGATGTAGCCCACAACGTACCACTACCAATGATCTCACCCATGCACAAGAAGAGGAGATAATGTCCCTCCAAATGAAGCACACTGACTTGGATCATGAATGTGAGTCCATCCATCCACATGAGGTGGTTCTTAGGACCGCCTGTCCCCCAGACTACACGCTAGCTATGAGAAGGTCTCCTGATGATATCCCCTTAATGACACCCAACACCATCACAATGATCCCCAACACTATACCAGGGATTCAGCCCCTACACACATTCAACACATTTACTGGAGGACAGAACAATACTCTGCCCCATCCTCATCCCCACCCCCATTCACACTCAACAACCAGGGTATAGCCAGACAAGACGAAACAAACTTTTATTTTTTGATGGATTACAGTAGGTGATATTACTGAAGATTACTTGGCTTTCAACCAACAAGACTCTTACTATTTAAATATGGAGGAATATTATGTGAATATACATATCAAGAACATTTGGGGTTTTGAAAAAAATGAATTGTACATATATCAAATGAACTTAAGAAACAAACAAAACAAAAGAAAAAAAGAAACAAAAAACAAAAAAACCCAACTGTTTGCAATTGCTTGAAGCAGTTGTCCTGAATGATACTTTTTCATTCACATTCAAGTATTAATTTTTTGAAGATTTAAGTTACATAATGGAATTAGGCATGTGCAACACAAACAGGAAAGAACTATGACTGAAAATTTTAAAAACCTATAAATATGCACAAGGGACACACTAATGGAATGTCAGATAATTTTCACCAATTTTTATTTGGACCTGTTTTCTTGTGTAGACCATATTTACATATTTGAATAAGTACACAAAGCACCAATGCTGTTAAGGCCTTAGAAAGGGGCTCATGCTGAAATCTGCCAGTCAGAGAAGTTTTACAGCCTGGCAGGTACAACATTATCACATAAGTGCTGTCAGTATAAAAGTTGTGGGAATAAAGGAAACTGGATATTTTTAGCACGATGTGCATGATAATTTATATGCTTGGTGGCTGTGCTGCTGATTAAGCCGTAATTAAAATTCTTCTCATCCCATTGGAGTTTTTAATAGAAGCTTTCTCCATCAATTGGCACAACCTAAAGAAGTTTTTTAAAGGGGCAAAAGTAATTACAGTAAAATATTTCATGGTAGCTTCCGAAAAAGAAGGGATTGCAACAGTTCTTAAAGGTATTTATGGCATTCTAGGTATACAGTGGTGGACCCTCACTGATATGAATCCCAGACAAAAAAATGTATACTATTAATGTTCTTTTTCCTTTCCACCCAAATAATTTCTGACTTTGAAATAACTATAACTTTAATGGAATCTCCTTTGATGAAAGATTTATAATTTGCTGTGATTTAGTTTCAGAGTATTTTGTTCAAACTGATGAGGTAAAGTGTGTCCAAAAATTTAATTGCAATGACATTTTGCCATTTAAAATTGCCCCAATATTACCGCTCTGATTACACCTTTCAGTTTATTGTTTCAACTCATGTTGCATGTTACAAAGTTTACTTATAATACTTTAATATAATGTTAATTCCCTTTTTGCTATACATTAGCTTTGTCATTCCAATTAATTCTCTAGACCAGATGGCAAGAGTGTAGAAAAAGAGGGTATATGAGAACGGGGAGAGAGCCAACAACTGGAAATTTAAAAATCTGGATACTACATATGTTTGTGTGATTTGAAGTGAATGTTCTAAAATCACAAGAAATTTTTCATTCCCCTGTTGCTTTCCAGTAATTCTATACCATGGTCCTTTCAAAACGTTTGTATATGTAATCAGATGTACATTTATATAAAAGAAATAATTGAGATGGACTTAAGAGCACATCCCTGATAAATACTTTCTCTCTTACCTGTACTATATTTCTATTAGACTAAAGTTATGTGATTTTTTTTTACATTTTTTCAAATTACTAGCAATTTTGATAGTTTGTAAGATAATGCGAAGAACTTTCTCTGACAAACTAACTGCAGTAACAGAAACATTTCTTTTCAGTTACTCTTTTTCAAGAATGAAAGCTTATTACACACAAAAATTGTATACTACTTGATGGAAAATTACTTTGTATTTCTTGGCCATATTACTGGTCACTGAGTGAAATAAAGATAATCTGGATAACGAATATTATTCCAATGTTAAGAGACCTGATCTTTGCTCATTAAAGAGCTAAAATGTTTATTGCTGTTTTGTCATTTTTTAATGAAGTAATGGTAACTGTCTCAAATAAAGAGTAATATCTTAAGACCAGTCTGGTTTTTGAAGACATGAGGGTGCCTTCTACAATTAATAAAACTGCATATTTGTAGGCCAGCCCCACCACAGCTATTTCTTACAGAAATATTGACATTGTGACTGTCATCACATGCAAATCTCCTCCAGATTTCAGAAATGAGTTAAAAATGCAATATTGACACCAAAAAAAAAGGCAAGGAACAGGCCTAATTGAAATAAATCTGCAATATTCCATGATGAGAACAAAAATAACTCACCTGGGTTTTTTTGGGTGATTGAACTTTTATTATAAAAGATTGCTGAGAAGTTTAAAGTATGTTTGCTAACATCGAGCATAGACATTAAAAATAAAGCTGAAACCAAAATAAATACTGCAATTTCAGTTATTTTACATCCCTATTTAACAACAACAACAACAAAAAAACCCCAAAAAACAAAATAAAAAACCCCAAACATGTACTTAGTACTTGTTACAGTCCCCAGTTTCAAATTAAAGTCTTTTTGTAGAAGCATAAAAAATAGTCTTCAAAATCCAGGGCGGTCTGTGTGCAATTTCTGCCTGATGTGGTTGTGCTTTTAGACTGTGACCTGCCAATGTAAACCAATAAAAAGAATTGTCTGCCATCTGATAATTATTGTTTAATAAGAAGATTGTATTTTGCTATGTTGATGAAACAAAACAAAAAAAAAAATACAAAAATATTGATGGCCATAAAACAAGATATTAATGAAATATGATTTTATGTGCTTTTCTTAACTTTATCAAAACCAAAATAACTTTCTACTATAGTTTCTTTGTGGCCATATATCTATATATCTCTATATATACAGTATCTGGTAATTGTTTACTTTTATTAGTTACAAAATAAATGATTTAGGTAAACCAAGCATGACACTACACTTTATTTCTGTCAGCCAATAGTATTTAAAATGTGAAAGATGAAGGCAACAACACAAATTTTGTCACTCCTGTTTGAGAAAAAAAAAGTCCATTCCTGTGATGCAGATACTGTGAATGATATTTTAGTGGCTACTTTATACTGATATTACAGCAGCTGGCTTTCCAAAAGTAAGATGGTGTCCCACGTTTTAACACAACATTGAGAAAGAGCAAGAGATGTTTTAAAGCTGAAACGAAAAGATAAGAAATGGTTTTGGAATATCTTCATGTGCTTCATGGAATATAAGTTTGTTCTTTTCAAAATATTTTATCTATTTGATTTGTTTGTCATGGTAGCATACACAAAAGCAAAACTGAGTGTGATATTTGATTTCTTGTATCATCCTTGGACCAGATTTCCAATAAAATTAGGATATCAGTCAGTCTTTGGAAGTTCAGTAAAAATATAAAGAGCCTGCATTTATTGATTTCACACTTTTGTAAATATGTTTGCAGACCTTTTTAAGAAAATGTATTCTACCATTTTGAGAAAAAAAAAATAACAATGGAATCATTGTCTCGTTTATCTATTGAAATTACAGGCAATATAATGTGCTGTGCTGACATTTCTAGGAGAAATAAAACCGATAAAAAACGCATTTTGCTCAATGGTATCTCAGTTGGTCGTACCTGGTGTTCTCCTCCCACGGAAGACTTGCAAGGCATGGATGAACTTCCTGGATAAAATCCTCCATAGGAAAATGTAGTTGTTATGTTTGTTGTCTGTACTAAACATGGATCCCTGTGTCACCAGTCTTTAATTATGGGATGTTTTTGTTACTCACACCCCCTGAAAACCAGATGAATAGGGGTCTAACAAATAAACATGTTACAGTTTTAAAGACACCACTGCACAGAAGATGCTGGAGTTTCTGTTGCCAACTTCACTAGGAGATGAAACAGCTGACTTCACAGGAAGCTGTCAAACATCATGCTACTCCTTTGATGTTTGGAAGTTGTTGCTTTTTCCCTGTGATGTTAGTTTAAAATATTGGCCTTTCCCCCCACCTTTTTTTTCTAGTACTGAACAGTTACAGATGGTCGCTTTTTAATGTAAGCGAACGTTAGATAATTTCATTATTATTGTGAAAACGTGCTTCCAAATAAATTAGATTAATGGGAAATTCCCTTCAGAGGTTCGGTTATTTTTCATTCAAAGCTTTTGTCAAAATATCTGTTGCAGGAGTTCTGGTTGGTTTTTTTTTCCCTCAGTCTGCAAGCTAAGAGACTTTCTCCAAATAACATTAAAAACCTCTTTTTCTATTTGAAATAATAACACTATAAGTTTAAGATGCCCTCCTGAGGCCTCCAAGTAAATATGAACAATATGAAACATGGCAAATGAGCTTTTAATCTAAACATTCTTATTTGGTTACATTCTGGCACATCAATACATTTCTATGCAGACCAGAAAATTAGCAGCATTTGATAAGGTGTTCAAGAGAACTTTGCAGCAGAATTGATGAGTTCATCACCGGCCATGCACAAAGTCCCTTTTCTCTAAAGGTTCTGTTTATGCCACTGTATAATCTATTTCTTATATACAGGGTCAGTAAAACCTTAACTTTGTGAAATGGGAAATTGTTAGAACAAGATAATGAACTTTATCTGGTGGAAAATGTTTAGAAAAAAACCTCCTGAGAGTCACCTAGGAGGTGTAGATTTTTATATGCAACATGGCTTCGTTCCTTTTTGTTGATATTATAATTCTAAGTAATTTGTACACCTGGGAAACTATCATTTCTGTAATAAGCTTTAGTTTTGAAAAAGAATTTTGAGTATTGTATGTAAATAATGGATTAAAACCTGAGTATCATGACCCTTTGCTACTGGGATGAATGAAAAACCTCATAGAAGTGCAACAAACTTGTACAAGCAGATTTTATACAGTCTCTTGAAACTTATTTTGTTTTCATTTGAAGACAAAAGTACCATCACAGCAGTAGAAGCTGTGTATTTGTTTCAGAAAATGCCTTCTTGTGTATATATGCATCTGTCTGCACATGCATACCCACATGCAGCCAATAAAGGAGATTTCAAAACATGAGACTAAGCAGGGAATTTTGCCTTTTGGCACCATTCAGAGGTGTGGAGGTAATGCCTGCCCCTCGTTCTGCATTCTCCAGTGTCACAGAGCAGCTGATAAGATGATGACAATGTTTTCAGCTCCAGCTGAATTAGTATTTATTGTGGGACCATTGGAATCAATGAAGCCCTGGCAATTGACACCAGCTATCGATCTGCTTCTGGACCTTTAATGTTCATCATGGCTCATCTCACTGTCCAGTTTTGCATATCTTCATGCACAGGAACACCCACTCACAGAAATTATTACAAGTACAACTATCCTGATTTATGAGCACTACCAGGCTTTAAAATGTGCTTTACAATATGCTTATGGATATTTGCGTGTAAGGCCAAAATTCAGGGGGAAAAAAGTCTTCTATATTTAAAAAAATAAAAAACTGAAGTTACATAGATGCAAAGAAAATATTAGTACCAGTTTGCAGCCTTAGCATGCTGTATAACTTTTATGTTAAAATCTATGTATAGAAAGGAACATTCAGTTCTTCCTGATCCTCAAATCTATATGTTGACCTATATGTCAAAGACAATGACACTTTACAGCAGTTGGAAGTCTGCTCTGTTCTTCTCCATTCTGGAAGGGAAGAGACAGACAACTGGGCCACATGTTGCTATAAATTCAGGACAGATTTTCTCTGTCATCTGAATTTTCTCCTCTCAATGTCAGCAAGGCCAGGCAACAGCATCTGTGAGCTGAGCTTTATAATGATGCCATTAAAAAAAAAAAAATAGTGGAGTTTTTGAGCCTATAGGGATACCCAGGTTTTTGCTTTACAGCTATAAGTGCCAGCAACTTTTTTTCAGATGGAAGTTGATACTGCTGGCACTCAGATGTGATAATACCAGAGCTCAGTTAAAAAGAGGTTGGTGAAAGACTCTATGAGCTGGTAACACTTCAATTGCATTATTAAATGTACAAAAAAAAGGAACAAGATTTCATGTAGTGATTTTGTTCAGTTAGTGAGGAACTCAGGGAGCCTCACCAGACCTCCTGGGCAAGGAGGATAGAAAAGGAAATTCAGGGACTGCAAAGCAATTGTGGGCCAGACTCTGTGCAATACACTTGATTTATACACTTGATAAATTTTCCCTAGAATAGAATGAGGAGTAGGGCAGAACCTTGTGGCCCGAGGCAGTTTGGGAGGGTGAGGTGTACACTGTACCTGTTTCATCCAGTGGTTTGTAGGAACGACTTCAGCAGTAATTTTAAGCAATTAAGACCATACAAAAGGTTCTAGAAATAATGCATGGTTCATCTGACACCACATGCATTTTCAGAAAAAGCCGTGCAATATTTCACTGATTGGTGACAAATATGTGGTTGTATAGTGTTGGTTTTTCTACTTTTCATAAGGTTTCCCCTACATAGAGGTGATATTCAGCTGAACTAATGAATAAATTTTGCTCTTATTTGCATAGAAGTCTAGAGCAATTTCATGAAAAGTGAAAAGTGGGACCTTCACTATGGTAAATAACACTCAAAACCAATTACTCTTGGTCAGCTAGTAGAGATTCCCTTGTTCAATCACGTGCTTATTTTTTTATTTAACATCCATCAATTTGCCATAAACATATTTCTCTCTCCCCAGTTATTAACTGGAATAAGTGTACCTTGCTCTCCACAGAAGATGAAGATAACAGGAACCATTGGTTTCCTTTTTGCTGTCCAAGAGCAGAAAATAGAAGACAAATAACAAGCCAGGGTTTGGGGGCTGGGATTTGGGTTTTCAGTTTGCTTTGGTTTAGTTTGGTTTTTCTTTCTTATAGGCTATTTTGATTCTCTGAAGTCTAACCAGAAGCCAGCAAGAGATTCAACCTTAATTGCTTCAGCCAGGAACCTTTTGGGGCATTTTCCTTTTGCCTTGTCCAGGAGGAAAGAGCAGGGTAAAATTCATGAAAAGAGATTTCTCTGGAAAAGCACTCCCAGCTGTACTTCTGAGATACACCATGGAAACAGGAAAACACTCACAGATTTTGCTGTGTTTGACAGAAGAAGAAACATAAAATTTAATACAATATTGATAATAATGAATAAAATCTGAGATTTTTTTTTTTAATACAAGTAATCCTTTTTCAGCAATAGATTATCTGAAGTCCAAACGGGCTCATTGGTTACTAGAATTTACACTGTATTGTAATACTGCATGTGAATTCCACTTTGTTGAATTCATACTTGTCCTGGCTCCATTCTGCATTTCAATTTCAATTTCATTTTAAAACTAGAATCTCTCTGCTTTTTATTGAGTTGTTGCTGTATGGACTATTGCCAGGTGCAATTTGCTGTCCCTAGATCATTTATCATTTACTTAAATGTCATAATCCTTTCATTTATGAATTTATTTTTTCTTGCTTCTTTACAGGTTTTGTTAGTTTTTAAAAAATTGTCTCTTGTGCGATAAGTGCAATTTTGTTCTTCATTGCCTCTCACATTGCTTCTACTGTCTCACACAAATGCAAATATTTGAAGTAATTTCAATGTTTTCTTCATTTTATCAGTGTTCTTGTTCCTTCAGGTGGGAATTTTGCTTTAAATTGTTTTTCTTGTAGTTGCATATCTATCTAGAGACTTTAATTTATGAACTCCCAGCTACAAGGATTGCTATTCAGGGTGGGAATGGAAATCCAGGCTGCTCTAGTGTCTCCAGCATCCAGCAGAGGCAAGGCCAACCTCTTGTGGCTTTGATATTATTGACTGATAGCAATATTCTTGTTGCTATCATTATTGACTGATAGCAACAAGAATGCTATCAGTGAATAATGACAGGCATGTGCCAGGGAGTTATCCACCACACACAGATGGCAATTTTTGCCTTTGAAAGATGCCACAGGTGCAATTTCACAGGGAACTTGGAGCTAAGGCAAGTGTGTGCCTCCAGACACCAGCAGAGCCTCATAAACTCAACTGCTTGCTAGATTAAGAAGCTTAAAAATCAACACCTTGCAGCTCATGGCCACACTTCAGGCAAGTGCTGCTGGGTTTTTGGGGCTGTGCAGGCGCTCAGAGCTTTGTTCTCAAGGGGGTTTTGGTGCAGTGCCTGTGTCTGTGCTACAGCTGCTCCATGGAGCTGAGCCCCTGCAGGAAACAGCCAAACTTCTTCTGACTGCACCTGGGAAAGATGAGCCCCTCTCCCTGCAGGAGGAATGAAACACAGATGGGCAGCATCAAACCCAATGTTCTACTCATTTTTAACTTGGAACAGCCCTTTGGTTCCTTTCTTAAGGGAGCAGAAGGGTTGGAGTTCTGGGTATGACTGTAGGAGGTGTTTCTGCTGTAGGTCTGTGCTGGATGTTGGAGGTTATCAGTATGAAATTCTTCCTTCCTAAACTAAACCACCAGTGTTAGGTGGCTAGTGTAGGAATTTTAGTATTGGATAAATCATTGTCTACTGGTTTTATCTGTTTTTCCTTGTTGCCTAAGAGAGAACCAAAAGGAGGTGAACAAATTTACTATTTTTTCTGTCTCTCAGGTGCACTTAACTATGAAAGCCTGACATGAGCAGTTATTTATACATAC